GAATGCATGCAAAAATTGTGGAGGTATTTATAGCGTTCTCATACAACACATTTGTGTTGATTGTTTAAAAATTTGTTACAATTATAGATTATTTTACATATTTTTTTATCATAATTTAAAAGAAAATTTATATTACAATTCGATAATTACGTTACAAGTGACAACGATGGTCGCGTAGGCGCGATCGTCTGGTGCCTAAACAACAATCATAAACACGACAATAAAATCGTTGACCGGGAAGCTGCTAACTTCAAACGCTTTTTGTACGGGATTTTATGTGAGCTAGGTCGGCCAGTCCGATCGGGCCTATTAGTAATATAATAACATTGCTGTTTTAACGGACGTTGATGTATTGAGTGATTTAGTACATTTAAAAGTTATTTACATGCATTAATATAATTTTTAAATATATGTTTTTCAATTATAAAGCTCTTAAAATTATTGGTAGGCCCGGCTTATCCTGCCTAACCCCGTAAAAGCCGCCACTGCTTCAACGCCAAAATTGTTCAGAGAAGAGAGAAAAATGAAGCGACAAAGATCTTCTGTTCGAGTACCAGACTTGTGTTTACGTTTAAGTTCCTAGTAATATGTCGTGCTGAGATTTTTTATTTTGTTTCTCAGATCTTTAAGACCAAAATCATCTATTTTCATTTCTTGTTCTATTTATTATTAGCAGAATATCTCATTTAGTTTATTTCTCGACTGACTACTACATATATCACAAAAATATGTTTGTTCTTCATACAACTCCACAAACTTCAATGTTATCCTCTCATTCCACTTCATATTTTTTTTAAATAAAATTCAAATACTTAAAAATCGACTTCCCACGACCAATTCTTGATAACGAGTACGTATTAACTTAAACGACTGTTTATATAAAGAGAGCAGCATTAATGTAGGAGTACCATCGTCTTCTACATTACAGTAATCTGAAAAAGCACCTTCATTTTTTCCCATTAAATAAGAACGCAGTCGGTATTTAAAATCTAAAGAAGTTGGATGATCGTTCAAACCACCTTTTGCTCTTATGACTCCAAAAAAATTCTCCAAGGGATCTTGGTTTAAGCGTCTCGTCAAAAGGTAGTTCATATTATAGCGTTTGCCTACATCTTCAAGCAGCAACTGCAGAGCCTTATTTGATATAAGAATACCTACAATGTTTTGTAAAATGTTATAAATGTGTTTTTACTTTGATATACTGTGTTACCTTTTTGGAATGGAAGCAATGATTTCTTGCCTTTAACGCGCATTGTTGAAAATCATGTCAGACATTCTATTTAAAATATCATTTTGGGTTTCTAACTCCAAACCATATGCCCGCTTAGATTAAAATTGCGTTGTTCCGGTTTTAAGTCTCCTAAACTTGACAAATTCCCAGAACCAAGCGGTCGGGATCACAATGGATTTTGATTCATTTATTATTGTATTATTAGCTTTTATTACATCATGTACTTTGTAAAGGACCGCTTAGGTATCATTTAAGAATAAATTTTTGAATGTTTTCACACGTTTTTGTGAGTACACAAAAATGCTCAATGCAAATTACAGGTATCGCAAGAAAAATTGTATTGTCTCTTACATATTTCTTCTCAAATTTAAGAAAAAGTAAAAATTTCTATCTGAATATAAAATTCGGTAGCGGTACATCGGTAGAAAAGCGGCGAAATCAGTAGGTTTGGGAACACTGCTGCTACCTGCTACGCTGCAACTGACGTCACTCCCTGGCCGAAGATCGAGCGACCGTGCGCAATATGTTACCTCTGTAGTTTATTATATTATTATCATGTAAAGAGAGTGTGAAATAGACGATTCAAGTATGCCATCACTGCGTTCAGTGGTGGGAGGCGCCTTCTTGAACAAGTAACTTGGATAGCTTTCAAGTTGTACTTGTCTGGCTTGGCTGCTTATTCAAGTTCTTGATCAACCGCTTGAAAATTTGTCTAAACGATTGAAATTGCTTACTTTATTTTACTTTACGGCCTATAACGCCCACAAAAATGATGAGAAAAAAAAACAAATCTTATAAAACGAATATTTATTTTAAACATTTTTCTTCTTCTTCTTCTTCCTACTTTATAAATAGGCTTAATGCCTGTTTTACTTCGGTTTTTAGCCTCAATTGACGTTGTCTGACCATCTTTTCCTCGGTCGTCCCAATGATCTTCTTCCATTTGGCGATTTGTCTCTTGCTATTCGTACTATTCTATTTTCTGTCATTCTTTCGATGTGTTGATTCCATTCCACTTTTCTTCTTTTGGTCCACGCGTTTATTTCCTCTATACCACATCTCGCTCGTATTTCCTCACTTCTTACTCTGTCTCTTAGAGTTTGGTTTGTTATTTTTCGTAAGACTTTCATTTCTGTTGTTTCCAGCAGTCTTTGTGTTTTCGCCGTATCTGCTCTTGTTTCCGCTGTGTACGTCATTATCGGTCTTATTGTTGATTTATATATCCTGGTTTTCGTTTCCGTTGTGAGGTATTTGTTTCTCCAGATTGTGTTGTTGAGACATCCTGCTGCTCTGTTTGCCATGTTCACTTGTTTTTGTACTTCTTCTTCCACTTTTCGTAGCTTGACAGTTTTATTCCCAAGTATTCAGTTTCCATCACTTGTTCTATTATTTTGTTATTTACGACTAGTTTACATCGTCTCGGTTCCGCTGATATCACTATCGCTTTAGTTTTCTCTGTTGAGATCACCATGTTGTATATGAGCGCCGTATCTTCGAATTCTTTAATTAATCTTTGTAGGTCATCTTCATTTTCGGCTGTTATTATGGCGTCGTCGCGTCAGCATAGTTATCGTCTTATTTTGTCGCTTTTCTTGTTGTCATTTAGTGTATTCTAATTTATTGCTCGTATTATTGGTCTTCTTATCTCCTTTTTTGAAGAACATCACCATGATCGCTCTCCTCCATTTATCTGGTATTCTGTTCGTGGTGATTATTTTATTAATAAGAAGTTGCAGTTGTTGTACAAGGTAATCACCTCCATATTTTAAGAGTTCATTTGGTATTTGATCTTCTCTGGTGACTTTCTGTTTTTTAATTTGTTTATTCCTTCTTTCACATCGTTTTGGGAGATTTCGGTCTTTTCCTCAGTTATTATATTTGGCGTTTCTGATAAAGGTTCTTCGTTTTGTTTTTTAAACATTTCTGTCAGGAAGGCCACCCATGTATCCTCTTGTATGTGTTCTATTTCAACTAGTTCTTTCATTTCGCTTCTTTGTTGTCTTATGAAGCGCCATACTTGTTTCTGTTGTCCATAGAAATCCATCTCTAGTCCTTTTGTGAATCTTTTCCAGTAATCTGTTTTTGTTTTTCTTACCAATTGATGA